ACTATGTATATACTAGATCGTGTTAAAAGGCGCGTGCAAAGGAATATATATATATTGGAGTAAAACGAAGAGGAACTCGAAAGAGACGTGTTCACGACACACAATAAGTGCATCTGACTCGCCCCTCTGGATACAATGCAATCGAACCGATTCCATTGCCTTCACTCGATACCCTTCTCCTCCATTCCGATGTATCGAATTCTATCCGCCGTTTGCACGGCCAGATAAGTTACCTTCGCTTTCTGACCCTGCGCCGTTTTCGCTAACCTGTTCTTTCTCGTTTCGAGACATTGTGTCTCTCTCTAATTCCCTGGCCTCTGCGCCTTTGCTCGATTTCTTCGCGAACGACCCTCCAATCCTCTTTGAACCCTTTCGATTCTATCTCATTTTCTGTCGTGGGTTTTGCTTTAATGGGTCCTTTGTCTTGATTTATTATTTACTTCTTTTGTTCTTTTGGCTCTCATCGTCCTTAACCCTCTCAGACTTTCTTAGAATTCTACAGATAGCTTCCAGTACCTAATAATTATTTTTCTATCGCAAATTTTATTGAAAGAACAGTCAGGAAAATAGCTTTTTAATTGATACTTCGATGGAGAGCAGTGGAATATGAATTGAAAGGACATTTTATGTACTAAGAATTTAGTAGATATTTTCAATTTTGAATATTTCCTGTAATATAAATAGTTGGTTAATTTACATTTCATGCTTGATATTATATACTTTTAGGTACCAGTGTATATAATAGCATACCTTGTAACTTCAAGACCTACTTTTTTCATTTTGAAACATTTTCAACAAGCTGTCGATATCCTTGCCATCGTTGCTAGAAAAGAGAAACACCCTTCTGAAATATATTACATATAAACATCGTCCACCCCATTTTCGGTAGAATTAATAAACATATCTTTTACTAACGTCTGTAAAACTGTTTTCTGTTACAGTGGTCGAAGGTGCAGCTGGCGAAATTCTCGATCCTGGAGCATCAAATGGACCCGAGCAGCAATTTCAGCAGTTATCGCAGCACCCTGAAGGCAGCAATGTGGCGTAGCGCCGGCGCTACGGACGAGCGACAGAGAATCGTCGTACCCTTCTTCAGCTTGCTGGTCAAGGATCTCTACTTCCTGAACGAAGGATGCAGCAACAAGTGAGTTGAAAAAAAAGAACTTCCACTCGCATTAATCATTTAAGGCACTCGAAGATATTTCAAGTTTGATAAAAATTGGAGAGATTCAGCCCCGCTTTCGCGCTCTAAATAATTACGACCCACGTCGGGGCGAAATTGACAAGCACTTTTTATTAACCTTTCCTTCTACCGTTTCTTTCCATGGCTGTATCAAAGTTAGACATCCATAGAGAGTTTCACGGAACGTTTCTGTCACTTCTTCAATACGCGTTTGCTGCAAGTAACGAATTTGGTATTTACGATAAACGAGGTGATTAAAGTAAATATGAAATGTAAGTAGACGTTTATATAATTCAAACATCTTACCTTATATTTATATTTGTAAGAGTAATTTGACGATTTTCCTTAATAACAAAAAGTGATCAGTTAAAAGAAGTACAGTAGTTTTAATCAGAATAATTTAACATTCACAAAAGCCTAATAATAATAAATTAAGTCCTATTTTAATATTTCTACCAAACGTTTCAATTTCACACTTGGATCATCTTAACGTAACATCAATTTGTAGAATTCTAAGTAATTGAAAAACAGAATATTCCGGAACGAAAATGAAACCTCAGATTTGTCTACATACCAAGTTTAAATAAAACCTTCCCATGCCTGAATTTACTACGAATGTAATCCCTCAGTCGATACTTTCCAAGTATAAATTAAAAGTCAGCCCACCTCGAAGTAGAAAATATAATTAAACCTCGTGCCCGAGTAGTTTGAAGAATTCCCCCCCTAGAGCACCCACAGATAAATTATATTCTCGGTTTTCCATCGTGTTTCTCAGTTTTCAGTTTCATTAAAAGCTCCTCATAAATTCGTATTTCCCCGCGAAACTTCAAAGAAGGGCCGGATAAAGACCACGAGCGGAAGAATAATTATAAAGTAATTTAAGTTCACCAGACGCGCAGGCAAATTCCCCGAGTCGCATTGAAACGCCGATCGACGATTTTCTATTGAGCACACCGAGGCGAAACTTTTTGCCGTTGGATTCTCGTTTGAAGCCCCGATAATTTTGTTCCTGCACAGGCGATACGTCGACGGGATGGAAGCTCGCACCCCGACCTTTCCATCCTTTTTGTCGAGCGTATTTATCACGACGACGAATGTGCCATGCCATTTCCTTCGCGTTACTGCGCGCGAAAAACCCCCCTTCCCTGCGCTTCTACGTGTAAACTTATTAAACTTGTAATAGCAAAAGTTGTTTCCCCGTTGCTTGGCTAGAAGTTGCTGAAAAGAAGGAGCGCGAGAGAGTGGGAAGAGAGGAGGCGCAGAGAAAAGGACGCGAAATGCTTTATAGAATCGACTTTTCCGTTAAAATTCGCCGGGAACATTGTTGCGTGCTTGAAGGTACGAGTAAATATGAGTTCGTTGAGGTGCTTGAAATAGGAATATTTAAGTGTGAAATATGAGAATCTCCATAGACCGATATCTAACTAAGCACGTCCTGTACTACTTAGAAATACTGTCTTTCACGTGGGATCTATTAATCGATGATACCAATAGCATTCTCATCACCTTCTTTATGAAAAATAACATCTTTCGAACTCCTATATAACAATTTCACTAACTTTCACCATTTCCCACCAAGATTTAAACTAAAACATCGAAATCGAAACCGTTCCTTGATCACCATTCTGATCATTTCCTCAGAGATATTCTCAGATTCTCTATTCATGGGACTGTTTCAACGTGAACATTTTACGTCCAGGACGTGATTAATCATCGCGATGACCCACTAGAGGGTGCCTTTTATTCGGCAAACTCATTAAACGCGTGCGATTGCACGGCCTAAATGAAACCGTGGCAAAAGCTGGGCAGCTTTCATGAAAAAAAAATTCTATTCTGGAATTGTTCCACTTCTCGAGGCGTTATTTACTGGACAACCGCGTGCATAATGCCCCTCTGTGTGTGTGTGTGTGTGTGTGTGTGTGTGTGTGTGTGTGTGTGTGT